ATGAAAAACTATGGCCCGTGCCAGCCTTGCCTTTCCCCGCATTGAGCTTCCGCCCAACTCCAATACCATACCAGATCATACCATACCATACCACACCACCTTACACAGTGCCATGACAAGAAGATACAAAATAGAGAAATGCCACTCCTACGACCCGTACTAGGACGTCGAACAGCCAACCTACGAGTACGACTACTACGAGGACTTTCAACAGCTACCAATCCCGCAGCAAGCCAAACAAATAAACATGCCGCCTCCAACCGCGTGAGACTCGTGGAGGTTGGCCCCCGAGATGGGCTACAGAACGAGAAGAAGACGATCCCGTTAACGACAAAGATTGAGTTGATCTCGAGGTTGGCAAAGACAGGTCTCACGGACATCGAAGCTGGTTCTTTCGTTGCTCCGAAATGGGTACCACAGGTAGGTCATTCATCGTTTGAGACTAGAATGGCTGCTAATAGGCGCATTGGCAGATGGCAGATTCAAACGAGATACTGGAATATATCCTCAAATACCCTCCAACCTCCCTAAACCCAATTGCCTACTCTTTCCTGGCCCCAAACGCAAAAGGCCTCCAAAATGCCCTCTCGATACTCAAAAACCACCCTAACGCCTACAGCACTCTCTCCGAACAACCAACCCAAAAGGAATCTACCGCAGATACAAAAAGCCCTCTCATTGAGCTCTCTGTTTTCGCAGCAGCCACCGAAAGCTTCTCGCAAAAGAACTTGAACTGCTCTATTGCGGAATCACTGTCGAAATTCCAAGAGGTAATTGAAGCAGCTAAAAACCAAGACTTGCGAGTCAGGGCATATATTTCCGTCGTACTAGGCTGTCCATTCGAAGGATACGATGTGGATCCACACCGGGTAGCGGAAATAGCCTGTGACTTGATGCAAATGGGCGCGGATGAGATTTCGTTGGGGGATACCACGGGTATGGGTACAGCTCCCAGGACGAAGGAGTTGTTAAAGGCTATGCGGAGTGCTGGGATTAGGAGTGAGGATATTGCAATGCACTTCCATGATACATATGGGCAGGCGTTAGTCAATACGGCTGTGAGTTTGGAGGTAAGTCTATTGGGTAACAATCTTATGCTTCTTTGTGTTGTCAGAACCATGCCGAGAGCACCTGGGGTTTTCAATTCTACAGTTACTAACTTTTTATTCGTAGTCTGGTATCACCACCTTTGACTCCAGCGTTGGTGGCCTGGGCGGGTGTCCATATAGCCCTGGCGCCACAGGCAATGTAAGCACGGAGGATATGATATACTTTGTGGAAAGCTTGGGGATGACCACTGGAGTTGACCTAGATGCTGTTACTGATATTGGAGCATGGATCACCAATGACATTGGAAAGGAGAATTCGAGCAGCGTTGGCAAGGCAATTTTGGGGAAAAGACTGGCCCAGCTGTAAGCATTCTAGTGAGCCGTCAAATATATCCACTTGTGTTATAGTAGATGAGTTATTGAAAAGCTACGTCGCTTGGGAAAGTCTGGCTGGATCAATCCTATCTGCTTGCAACTATGTCATGTTCAAAGAAGTTGTCCAAGACACAGTTGATGCGGGAAGCGTAGCTGCTGAATTACTATGAATGTGCCTGCTCCTGCCTTGTTACATCAGCGCCGCTTTTTTTCTTTCATCCGAACAGCCGGAATGACAGCCTTTGATGTCCATCACAGACCCCTATCTATAGGATTGTGGTGCTCAATGTACAGCTGCTAAAGGAAAAGTATCATTGCAGGGAATTAGAAAAGCTTGGGGTGAGAAACGGCTTGTACATGAACGACCTAGAGGATGACTTGACTTAGAGAAACACCCTGAGCCTTGCTTTCGATGCAACATATCTAGCGAACTTGTAATCATTTTTATATATAAAACCTTTAAAGAGAAAAAAAGTCAAGTGAAGCCATTTATATCACATTATAGTCACGTGGAGTCGCTTATCGCCGTTTCCTGTGCTGCCAGAGCTAAGCTCAAGCTCTCGAGCTTCGAATCCTCCAACCTCCCCTCCACATCCTCCTCAACCGAACAGCCTCCACCCCGCTCCTCTCTACGTCCGGTGTAGAGCTCTGCGAAGCATCCGATCCCACTCCCATCTCTCTATACGAACGCGCTCGAGCGACTGCGAAAATGGGAGACCCACGAGAATCATCATCGTATAACGTTACGCCAAGAATCCGATACAACACCATTGGAGGCGTGAACGGTCCTTTAGTCATTCTCGAGAATGTGAGTTGGGGGAGAGCGAGGCGTTGTTGGATGAAAGGATGATAATGCTGATGTCTGCGCCAGGTCAAATTCCCTAGATACAATGAGATTGTTACCCTGACCCTGCCTGATGGCACCCAGAGATCTGGGCAAGTGTTGGAAGCTAGAGGTATGGGAAAGCTTCGACTCCATCTCTTGATTATATTCTAATTGCTCTGCTGCATAGGAAACCGTGCTGTTGTGCAGGTATACCTTCAAATATAACCATTGGTGGATCCCAGACCCTGACATGCGAGTAGGTGTTCGAAGGCACATCTGGCATTGATGTCAAGAAGGTATATAATCTTTTGGACAACAAGGAAGTCATTACATCTGCTGACACCTTTGTAGTCCAAGGTCGAGTTCACAGGACACAGTCTGAAGCTTGGTGTCTCCGAGGACATGTTGGGTCGTATCTTCGATGGATCAGGAAGAGCAATTGACAAGGGACCCAAAGTGTTGGCAGAGGACTATTTGGACATCAACGGAAGTCCTATTAACCCATATTCTCGAGTCAGTAGATTCTGCGCAGATATCTCTCTGCCTTTTGCTGATATGTACAGGTCTACCCCGAAGAAATGATCTCCACCGGTATTTCTGCCATCGATACGATGAACTCCATTGCCCGTGGACAGAAGATCCCCATCTTCTCCGCCGCCGGTCTGCCACATAACGAAATTGCGGCCCAGATTTGTCGACAGGCCGGTTTGGTCCAAAAGCAGGGTGTCACGAACAAGGGTACACATGATGGGCATGAGGAGAACTTCTCAATTGTTTTCGCAGCTATGGGTGTCAACTTGGAGACGGCTCGTTTCTTCACAAGAGATTTCGAAGAGAATGGCAGTCTGGAACGTGTCACTCTGTTCTTGAACTTGGCTAATGATCCTACGTAAGTGCAGCAGCGTTGTGGTCTACTGCCAGCTGCTAACATATCCCAGTATCGAACGCATTATTACCCCTCGTCTTGCCCTCACCACCGCCGAATACTATGCATACCAGTTGGAGAAACACGTTCTGGTCATTCTTACCGATTTAACGGCATATTGCGATGCCCTACGTGAAGTCTCAGCTGCCCGTGAAGAAGTGCCAGGTCGACGTGGTTATCCCGGTTACATGTACACGGATTTGTCGACCATTTATGAACGTGCCGGTCGTGTACATGGACGAAACGGTTCCATCACCCAAATTCCCATCTTGACTATGCCCAACGACGATATCACCCACCCAATTCCAGATTTGACTGGTTACATTACGGAGGGACAAATATTCATCGATCGTCAACTTTACAATCGTGGTATCTACCCACCCATCAACGTCTTGCCATCGCTCTCTCGTCTCATGAAGTCTGCTATTGGTGAGGGACACACGAGAAAGGACCACGGTGATGTATCTAACCAGTTGTATGCCAAATATGCTATTGGTCGTGATGCAGCCTCGATGAAGGCAGTCGTTGGAGAGGAAGCTTTGTCGTCGGAAGACAAGCTCTCTCTCGAATTCTTGGAGAAGTTTGAACGTACCTTCATCTCGCAGTCAGCATATGAATCGCGAACTATTTACGAATCTCTGGATCAAGCATGGTCACTGCTACGTATCTACCCCAAGGAATTGCTCAACCGTATTCCAGCCAAGGTGTTAGCGGAGTTCTATCAACGATCGGCTGCTGATCGCAAGGGTAAGGGACGGGCTGGAAAGGACACCAAGGACAACAGTGAGGAGTCGAAGGCGGCGAATGGACATGGAGAGAACCTGATTGACGCATGAATCTCGGGGTAGGTACGATTGAGCATTGTTAAAGACTCGTATGGAGCCGTATGTTGATATTGGACTTTGAGTGTTTCGTGGCTTTTCCACGAGGCGTATTTGTAAGTATGCGAGGAAATTGGAGCAGGGCGAGAATGCATAACATTGAAAACCTCCGCCAGGACCTCATGCTTTCAAGGTCTCTGGGGTGCTACTTTGAAGTAATTACTCTCGGGCAGAGATGTCCCAGGCTTGGCAGGGACATATGCGTGTCGACTTCCTTGTTGGTGGGATATTGCAGACCGCTTCGCTACCAGCTTCGTATCCTTGACCAACTCGGACTCACTTCTCACTGTTGTGACTACGATGCCCGCTAACAAGATGCAACTGGTACGGTCTTTGCTGGTATTCGCTTTCTTCTTCCAACATTACTTGTATAGGAACTCCAAGGCGATTGATTGTCAGCCGATTCGTTCGAATATGCAGTCCAACTTGAGTGCAGCCAGTAATTTATTTTCATTTTGATTGCTGGTCAACTGACCATACAAACAACCAGGGCTGAAATAGATGAACGTGGGCACCACATACAGATGCATACATATGCTCAGCGGAGCTACTCTACCAAAGCTTCGATGAGGAAGCTGTAAGATGACCCCGCATTCTTGACGAGGGTGTTCAGGGATGAGCTGTGGTGTGATGTATGGCGAGGTATGGGAAGTCAATCAAGCTGTGCTGTACGTTGAATGAATGGTCGGCTGCAGTGGAGTGGGTGCAGTGGAGAAGGCTGCAGTGTTGCTTTGGTGCCTGTCGACCACCTGCGGGACGAAAGTACGGCGGAGTAGTAGCGCACCAAGTAGAAGATGCGGGGGACCCCAACAACCCCTACCCTACCTACCCTACCTACCCTAGAACCCCAAGCTACCCCGGACACGGTCTTTGATTATCCGGGGCCGCCCATATTGTAAGAGCTAGGTAGGTACAACATTTCCCCGCTGTGATACGTGCGCTATTAAGTCACTTTTTCTTTCCATGTCATGCATGCATTTCTCGCTGTGTCACGTCAAAAGAATGTCCTTTTGATCCTTGAACCTGGTAGCTTCGTAGCCTGGTAGCAGGGGAATTGTCCAATTGATTTGCAGCGTGTACTTCCAAGGGTCGTGTGAATTGGGAATTGGACTGACCTGCTAGGATCCGGAGCTTATATAAATGGATAGCTCCCCTCACCCCCTCCCCCATTCCCGCGACTTATTCCCACCTCCCAAATCCCTTTCCACTCTCAATATCCGTGGGTGTTTTTTCTTCCATTTCAATTGAGTATCTAAAGCCTCAAAATGCGTACCGCAGCTCTTGCAAGCGCCCTCTGGGCCACTTATGCACTTGCTCGCCCTCAAGTCGCTGGCGAATTCTTCACTGGCACCGTGGGCAACACCACTATCGCTGGTGACAATCATGGCCCTGATGCAAATGGCAAATACGTGATTTATGGGGAGAACATTCGCGCAAACTTCATTCCCTACGGAGCCTCCATCTCCAATCTCTTCCTGAACGACACTTCTGGAGTTGAGCGCGACATCGTGGGTGGCTTCGACAATGCTTCCTACTACGGAGTAGATAAGCAACATCCTCATTTCGGCGGCGTCCCAGGTCGATATGCGAACCGAATCAAGAATTCAAGTTTCGTTATCGATGGCGAGACTTACAATATCCTCGGCAATGAGAACATTACTCCAGAGCATCCCAATGGACTTGATACTCTGCATGGCGGTCCCGGTGGCTGGGATTGGCGCAACTGGACTTTGGTTGCCCATACCCACAACAGCATCACATTCAGCCTCACGGATCCAGATGGCGACCAAGGCTTCCCCGGTGAGGTTGTCAGTTATGTAACTTACACCCTTGGCAACATGACTTGGGATTTGAGGATGGTGGCTATTGCTACGACAAAAGTCACGCCCATTATGCTGTCTTCTCATGTGAGTTCTCTCCCTCCTTCCTCCAGATATGATAATGCTAATCACCCAAACAGACTTACTGGAACCTTGACGGCTTCGCCAATAACGAGACAGCCACTGCCCTCAACCATTCCCTCTGGATGCCCTACGCCGGCCAACGCATCGACACAGACAACATTCTCATTCCCACGGGCGACATCCTAGCCAACCAGCCCGGTTCTGTCAACGATTTCTGGTCATCCCCCAAGCAACTCGGCGCCAACTTCAGCAACCCTGCCATTGTCGGGAACTGCGGATACAACTGCACCGGTTATGATACGGCGTACGTCAACAACCGCCAAGCTCCCTACGACTGGCGTAACGAGGGCCCCGTGGCTCGATTGAGGAGCGCATGGAGTGGTATTCAACTCGACGTCTACACGGACCAAGATGCCTTCCAAGTCTACTCGTGCGGCGGACAGAACGGATCGGTGACTTTGAAGGGCACGCAGGGTCTTCATGGTGTTGAAGACAGGCCGAGATTTATCGAGCAGTACGGATGTGTAGTGCTGGAGGTCGAGGATTATATTGATGGTATCAACCAGCCAGAGTGGGGTCGTGACAAGAAGCAGATCTTTGGCCCTGGTGATGATCCATTCGTGTTGCAGGCGAGCTATAAGTTCAGTCTGAATGACACTGAGGTTGGATTGCTGGGAGAGGGTTCTGGCTAGAGGAGTTGTTTTTGACATTTGTTTGATTGGTGAGGTACATAATTCGTAAATAATTCAAGTCACAAATAATATCGTGTAATATGAGCATGGGGTTCTTGCTGGTCTGCTTAGAGGTGACGAATGTGCCTTGTATGAAATGACCTTCGCCGTGAAAGCCTGAAAAGTTAGTCTTTCCTAGGGGCAAGACTTCCTTCCTATTCTCCCTCTCTAGTTTAGCACTGTAAGTTCATTTATTTCAGGACCGTACAAACTTTCTGGTTTTAGCTATTATATGGTGAACACTGTTGAAAATGCAATCAACTCAGCCGCCAGGCCTAAGACTCCTCATCCTTTCAAATTCGAGAATTGGCTCTTGAGACTTTGAACTCAATCTATTCTAGCTTGATCTTTGGTTTGCCTTAGTAGTGGATTTCTGACTATCTCAAGAATTCACTGGCACCTGCCAAAATACCAGAAATATAAATCGATTTTGGGTTCGTCGGTACAACCTAACTCAAAACTTGCGAATACACGTGTAATGTTCAATTTGCAGAACGCTTCTTAGTAGGCGCAATCGCCAAGAAGGGGCGAGGAGTAATATAGAGAGGGATATCCAGATCTTGCCTGCAACTTCTTTGAAAGATATCTATTCTGGGACCTTCATGAATCAGGTCACAATGTTGATTTAGTCATGAGTAATCTGCAAATTACTTATGATTGCGAGAACTGCAGAGAAAATTCACGGGTAAGCGAAGTACATCATTCTCCATCTTCAATCCATTCAGACATATCTTGAAGCTGCAGGTAGATCATATCATGTGTTCTCTCCTGTCCCCATTCATTCATCTGCTGGTATATATTCAGGTGTCAACTCTGATCCTTTCTGTTCCACTTCTTATCTACAAGACTCGATTCTCGTGCCGAAAACCTTGCCAGCATAACAACACCAGCTTCACGAGCACCTTCTTTACCACCTCATCAGACGAATGTCTCGGCACCCCGAAGCCATGCCTAGCACCCGCACCTCCGACGACTCAAGCAAGCAGACCGACAAAGAGCAAGACGCATCCATATCCAAATCTATGTCCCAAAATACGACCGCGGACCTCCTGCCCCAGAATGGCTCAGGGAAATACAAGGGTCGAACTTATGATTTGGAAACTTTCAAGTACAGCATTCGACAAGAGTATCCTAAGCTTACTGAGGACCAATGTTTGGCGTTTCTTGAACGGGAGCTGAGTCTGGGATATTGTACGGAGAAGCCGGTGGGGGTTTTCACTTGGAAGGAGTAATCGGTATGGGATTTGGCATTCACAAGTTCCTGGAATTGCTAGAAATTATCTTCGTGCCGTTTTTGGTGTCTAGCATAGGGAACCACAATGAAGAGCCAGGGGTTCATAATTGATAGTCCTGTTGTGGGGAAAGTCGTAAAACACTTTCGGATTTAACTGTGTATAATAGAAGCGGAAACAAATCATTGTTGCCCATATCTCAGACTAGACGAAATTGGCGTCTTAGGCTTAGATAGATTTGCGAGACAGTGAATAGATCAAATATACTTCCACCAACTGGGAACCTTGAAGATATGAATCAAAGCCGTACCCAAACTTTATCTGTCGATACCCACCAGAATACCAACCACACTTCATTTTACAAAGCCGTTCTACACAGAACCGCGAATCAAGCAGCAAACAAACCTCCAGCCTCCCTACCATCACATCATGCCTTCCAATCCCCACTCAGCCAAAGGTCTTCCCGGCGCCCATCCGGACCCTCTGCGCAGCCACCCAGTCAGCGCCGCAAGCATCCCCCGCACTCCTGACAAACGCCGCCCAGCATTCGGGAACACAGACATCGCCCCGGCCTATGATCTAGAAGGCTTCATGAAGGACCACCCAACACTCACGCCGGAACAGGCGCTTGTTCTCTTGACGGGTGTGTTTCGCTGGAATCGGTGGATTTGAGATGGAGGAGTGGCGGGTAGTGTAATGAGGCGTATTGGAAGAAAGGTGGGAGAAATCGAAAGGGGATCGAGCGGTTGGAAATGGAGGAGGGATTAATGACCTGTTAACGGGGTGATCTGGCGTCGTTTACGTCTACTTGGAGCTTTCCGCATTAATGGAATTCCTATTTTGTATCCTGTAACTCCAAGCTTTGTGACGTGCATTCTTCAACTTCTTCTGCTTTAGGAAAGTTTGTTATGACGTTGCTCTCTTATTTAATGCAACGACGGTCTGCTGCTTGCTGGACTTTATCTGCAACACAATTTTGCAAATGCCAAGTCTGCATACTAAGTGTTCATGATTTCGTGAGACATTATTAGCATCATCAGCGGCGGCTTCAAACTATGGCGCAGTCATAAGCGAGGGGTCGGAATAGGGGCTGAGCACAGGGTACTACTCGTATAGTGATTCAATGTATTCTTCAGTTGAAACTGTTGAGATGGGTATACTTGTATGTTCATGTTGGATTATTATAAATGCTTAATGATTTTTTGACATAAACATAGAATGATTTTGAAGTGTTGATACGGCATAATATATCAGGCCGCAAATTACGCAAATCCGAACATGCCTATCTAGAAAAGTCATAAACTAGTGAATAATTTGATCGTTTCTCTTCTACAAAATGCCTTTAAGTGGGCCATAAAAAGTTCTATTCAGGGCAGTGAGGTCAAACCAGGTCGCCTTGCCTAGGTATACATATTCCACCGACTCTAATCTTTCTTAACTCTTTCAAGTAATTCACATATATCTGCCACATCTGGTGTACAGCCTCCTTTTCGATTCACATCCTTTATCTTTGCCGTCAATTCCCTATCTAAAGAGAACTTGCTCCAGGACTTGACAGCTTTCAAATCAATCTGAGCTCTTAGCACTTGCAATGTAAAATCTGCTAAAGCAGGAATTATGTTAAACGTTTTGCACATTGGAGTGTAGATCAAGGCGATCATCTAAACCCGCCACTGCAATGAATACTACCCCTTCGAGTAACCCAATTCCTTTGCCTGAACTCAACTGCGACTTTACAACTGGTTTAGAAGCGGCAACAAGAGGAATCCATGATGCCAAACAGGAAATATGCGATACCCAGCAGTTATCGCAATTGATTGAAAAGCATACCGGGATCAAGCTGAACTGTATAAATCTGTCAGTAGTTGATAGAAATGCTGCTTTAGCCTCTACCATTCGCCATGTTGCAAACATGCAAGGCTGGCTTGCAGGGTGGGAATGTCTAGCTGAGGCATGTCTTGAGTGTGGAATGCATGGTAGGCTTATGAAAGATGGTAAGCCTTTTGTCAAATGCCACTAATTATTCGCCATTGGAAAACCAACTATCATATTCGTCTCTTCCAATCCACCCCAATAAAGACCGCCAAATGCTAATTCGCTTGTAGTTGCAATCGGGGTGAATGTCTACAAAAGTATCACCGTTCCCTTCAAGCCCTACCCTCGAACACACATGCCCATCAAGTTTTCTATTGTGACTTCTCCTAGAAGTAGCCGGACAGACCAAGGCGGTCCAAGGACTCTTGATGGACACAATTGGGAAACGAATAAAGACTACGAACAAGAAATGAACATTTGGCATTGCCCACACGATCTCCAGATGGGCTCCTGTCCTTACTTTCCGTGGATCGGCGTGGGTAAGAAAGTTGAAGTATTCGACGATCCGAAAATTGCGGATGAATTCCATGGAGCCCAGTAAGTAAAGAAACATAACTTTCAGAGGCCAAGTAAATCAAGCCACCGATCCCGTGCTTTTATGTGGCCCATACTCTCCGCCTTTCTATAATCTATTACTAATACAGTAAATAAAAGACTAACTTCATCACTCAGATTGCTAGGAAGCCTCGACTATGACTTTGATAAAGATGATAGTAAGCTAGGAGGAGGCATCAAGAATATACTTGCGAGGACTGCAAAGATGGCAACAGTCCACAAAGGGCGATTGCGTGGCTCGGCCTGGATTGGCATGTTAACAACGGATCAGCAGGATTTCAATCGGCACATCCAAATGCAGTGGGCGGCAGAGAATAAGGGCAGATTTGTTGTCGGTCCATTGCAGGTTTCGCTGGGGGACTTTGCCATTGCTGGTTATGTTGATTGTGCGGCACTTTGTCCATTTGTGTACCAGTATGGCCCCCTTCTCGTCTTCCACCCATTTGTTAAAACTCGAAAACGTTACAGAGGCATTGTAGTTCTACATGCACACCTCTTGCTGACCCAAACCCTTCATAGAACTGTTGGAGAATTTCTACCAAGTCGAAAGTCGATGTGCGTCCCTGTAAGTAACTTTCTCGGAGAAATATTTCCTGTTTTGAGCATCTAAAGAGCGTTTTCAAAGTCAGCCAGCCCTAGAATATTATCTCAACTCTTATAGGGCATCTTCTCGACTCGTAAAACTTATCATATCTGACAATACTGACCCCAAGATTTTAATCATAGGTGCTCGAATACTCACGAGCGCCAAGGACAATCTTGTGTTGCAGCATGAGGGGCAAGATATCCGAGAGGCTTGGGAGGAAACCCTGAACCCTACAACTGCCTCGAAGCTTATACCTCGACACAGCTATGCGCACATGTACGAGCTTGAAGACCCAACTGTTGATTTATATCGTTATGGAGTGAGCCCACCAGAACTTTGTCGGGCTTGTAACTTCTGCTTCAGAGAAGCTTTGTTCAAGAAAAACGATAAAATCCAAGCCATTACCGGGCTTCCTCACAATGCCGTTTACTGTGCTCCAGTCACCCTTGCAGCAGCCATTCGTCGGGGTGCATTGTGGGCTGCGACATCTGACTGTTGCAACGCTTGTGCATGTATTATGGGCACATGGACTAACATCATGTCTGATCGACCTGTTGCTGCTCTTATGCAAACCGAGCAGAAAGTTTGTACTCGAGATTGGCTGCTGCAAAATTGTGTTATGGGGTGCGTTGCGTTTTCGCCTTTGCGTCTAATCTCTATCCTCTCTGGCTTCGATGCGACCGCTGATATTACTTTCGAGGCGGGCGCTATGGGCGAGGACGTCATTGTGCAATGCTAAGCCGAAGTTCACCGGTGTGCATTCTGGTTGGGTTATATTTCTTATGGACTCGGAATTTCGGAATTAAGAGCAGGAAGTTCATCCCGAAAGTCGGAAGGTAGGGTTATATTGCCTATATATAGGTTGAAGATAATGTTCTGTAGACTTCTTTTCTTCGCTGCCAACTGATATTATTCCTTCTTGGCAGCCACAAACGTTAACCATATGATTAACTCAAAGCAACAGGAACATCTTAGTCGAGGACAGGCATTTCCTATTCACAACTACTTTACAAAATAGTCTAAAATCTCTCCGTCCCTTTTCATTTCTCATTTTTCATAATGTGATTCTCCCCATATATGAAGGGCTTTAACAAGTAGCGGAGCCGCAGGGTTCAAATGGGGAGTCTTCGTTACAATCATATAAGCTGCAAGTATGCTGACCATAAATAGTCTCAGTGGTGCAATTATCACACTATGTACAGACACCGAATCAGCGTACGTTATTCGTGACTTAAGAGACGAGAACAAGTAACTTACGGATGTGATACCGGCAATAGCTAGCTGGTAGGGAAAGCTCTGTCCGTTAGACTAAGGACCCAAGTAATTAGATATAATCTATCTGTAATCCGTGACTCATCTGGAGGTAACTTACCGTAGTTCCAGCTTCAAACATGCATGCGGGCACATCGCCTGTGATTCCGTCCAAGCCGTTCATTCCGCATAACCCCTCTTGGACTCTGGACTGCGCTACACTTGCGAGGGTGGCAGCGAGAAAAGTTGCTTTGAAGATTGCGGAGAGCATTGTGGAGATTGAGACGTGGAAATGCGTGTAGTTGTATGTGTATATTCTTAAGTGTGTAGATGTTAATAAGAAGGGTTGGAAAAGAAAGTATCTACATATACAAAAGGGTTCTACGTAAAAGATTCAAGCTCGCATTCAGGTATGGTACATCAGCTTCCAGATTGAAAATCTGTCGCCGTGAGGATTGCGGCGTAGAAGATGCTTTTGTTCTAAGAAGCCTGTTAAGCCCCTGTATTTCTAGCCTCCCCTACAAGTGTTAGTATAAGCTAGGGGTAAAAGCAAACGGGATTGCCGGCACTTTACGAAGTAGTCAAGGGGGACGAAGACTTAACACCTGTACGTGGTGTCCCCTACGACCCTGTGGATAAGCTTTTGCTTGTCCTGAGGATTGAGTGGCATGGTGACCTCGCTGTTGCGATGCCACGTTGCAATACGACCCCAGAGCGAAAGTTGAGTCAAAAACGATGATACGAGTTTAACGCCCTTACCGCGTCGTACACTATCGCTTCTAGCATGACAGCTGCTGCTCCTCTGCCTCTACGACAACTGTCTCTACTGCCTCTACGATTATGTACGGAGGTACAGCGGTTAAGTATTGTTACAATTCAAAATTAGTACATTCACCCTCTTTTCCTAATTGGGAACTTCTAATACTACCCCCCCTCCCCTTAATAAAGGTTAAATCACGTAAAATCTCCATGAAACGTAGAATCCTATAGAACTAAATAGCTATAGAGTATTGTTATGAAAATTGCAACTTTCTATAAAATCTACTTTTGCAAGGCTTATATAGAGTCCCGCTACCGGAAACATCCTTTTTCTAGTAGAAAGTGGGAGGTTTTAGCAGTTTAATCACCAAATAAGACATGAATGATCTATCTAGGGGGGGTTTCAGCTAATAGAAACCCTCTATTATCCTGGTAACATCCTGGTTTCAAGTGGAAAGTTGCAATCTTTATAAAAACACGCTGTAGATGTCCTAGCAAGTGGCCCACTATTCACGGCGCAGGGTACTTATAAAGTCCTTGTAAGGTCCTACTAGGCCTAAGACGTAGTGATATCATTTGCTTAAATCCCCTGTTTATATGATGGGGCGAAGGATCATTAACCTTTATCAAGGGAGGGGAGAGTAGATACAGCCCCTGCAAGCACAGCCTCGATAGGCTTGAAGCTCTGTAAGCACTACCCTAAGAGGCTTAGAAGACGGTATCCGATTAGATCAATTGGATAAAAGGTGTCAAATAACACTCAACTGGCGCTTTTACATATAGAATATCAGCAGATGTAAATCTCTTGAAATGAAAATACTTGAAAGTCGATTTCACTAATTAAAAAATATAAAAATAGAAGTTTCGAGGTCTGCTATAGTCTATAAAATTATATTAAATTAAAGGCATTTATAAAAGGTCAGAAGGCGTTGGGGAAAACAGGGCGCAAGAGCCCAAGTATGGGATGAGACCTGCCACTCCGCTTACTGGTAGGATTCAAAATTAGTGCCACATTTTCTAGATCTATCTAACACAAGCCAGGCAAGCACCGAGGCACGTCTCGAGTCGATTATTTTCCATTTAAACCATGCTGCTAACCCCCGAGTTCCAAATTGTAAGCTACAATCCGGAACCCCACCAAACCCCAGAAAGACCGATCAAGATCCTCAGAGAATCAACATGGACACACGTCGGATCGTTTCTCAACCCCGCCTGTCTGCCGCCTAGCTTCCACACCTGGGCGGCCGGCACGTTCTCGCCCTCATCAACCAACCTACTCCCTCTACTTAGTCCATTCCTCTCATTCCTGCACAGCTATCTGGCGGAGAATAACCTCTTGCACTATTCGCTCACCATCCGGGCACAGAAAGCGACGGCTGAGTATGAGGTAGCGAGATGGCATTTTGATCGGGCGGTGTTCCAACAGCCAGTGCAGAATAAGAGCGTGTTCGCATTTGGGAAGAAAGCTACAGCTACAACTACAGCTACTACGGTAAAATTAGCAGCCGCGTTGACTGGGCCGGGGACGTTGTTTCTGAAGGATGGGGTTAGGGGAAGGGAACTACTGAGTAGGATGGAGGCCGAGACGAAGGCAGCGCTCAAGGAAAAGAGTCTTGGAGATGATGAGCATGTCTGTTATCCATTACGCTGTTTGGGGTGTGCAGATATGGCCTCATCTATACGGTTCAAGTTAGCAGCGGTGGTGGAAGCGGAGGGACTGGAGGTGATACAGCTGCGAAAAGGGGAGGTTGCGATCTTTAGGTCAGAAGGAAAGGGTCGAGGTTTAGGTTTAGAGGGCCCGGCGATGCATTCTGAGCCTGATATGAGTGGAGGGGATCGTGTGTTTGTGCATGCTATTCCGGGCAGAGAGGACGAACTGAGGGGATTGGTTGGGGGTTGGGGAATGGAATTCCCTAGAGATTGGGCGATTGGGGTATCGGAAACCTTTGCTTAATTTGAAAGCGTAGACCGTATGAATTGGACAAATCTCTCACACAGACGCCTTGCAAATCGTTAGTTTGAGCTTCTCGCAAGGACTACGCAGCCCATGTCTCATCAAGTCGCTAAGATTCGAGATGTTTGAATATAATAGCTTTAATATAGGTAGTCAACAACTAAATAATAAAGGTTTATAAAGTAAATATATTTTCCTCGCAGCTAGTTGTCATCTTTGATCAATAAAGAAAGGCCGAGAGTTCATTTCAGTCATATAAAAGATCGCTCAAAAAAGTTCAGGAGCACATAATCCACGAAACAGAAATCAGGTTGTTGACTTGATATCCAATAGCTTTATTTCGTTAATATTTAATTTCATCAATCATCCAACTCTGCATCCCCCCTCCCCATCAACGGTCCCGCGAGCCCTAACATTCTACGTCCTAGTAAATCATCTTCACTAGCCAAACTAACCATACTCTTTTTCTTCTCCCCCATCCCTCTTCGTTTCTCCCTCAATTGCTCCCTTAATAAACTCTCCTTCCTCTTTCGCTCCTCGACTTTCTGTGTCCTGAGTTTTGTGGAGCTAGTCATTGACATCTCCAACCCCATATCTTCGTCTCCCGAGCTTTCGGTACGGGATCTGTAATGGTGATTGGGCTTTTTCGGAGGATGTGACACTTCTTCAAAGATATGTTCGATCCAACGGGCGCAGCGGAATATGTACTTCCAGCCTTCTGGATAGACGCCTACAAATTGGAGGAATCCGTGAGATATACCCGGCACGAGAACGACTTGCACTACATCAAGATCATCAAATTCGTGTTTTAGACTAGCATCGTTTGCTTGCTCTCGAGCATGCTGCGCTGCCTTTGCTCGACGTAGTCGGCCAGCAAAGATAACAGTATCATCGACAAGCGGGTCGCGTTCGCCTGTCAAGAAGTATGCCTTTGGAAATTTCGCAAGTAAGTGATCGGGAGCGAGAACGGGGGACAAGAGGTATTCTTGCGTGAAGTCTGGCCGGTTGTGCGGGCCGATGTAGAGGATGATCATGGCGCGCATCATTTCTGGAGATAGGATGCGGTCGTTGAAGTAGGAGATCATACTTGATACTGCCAGGCGAGTCTTGAGTGGTTCTAGGTGGTGGGACGCAGATGGCCTTTGCTCGTGCCTGGATTCTGCTACTGTGGATGATTCTGGAGCTGGAGTGGTGCTTGAGCTGGGGCCGGCGAGAGTTGTGTCGATGGTTGAAGTTGTGGGGTTTGGTGGGCTGTTGATTTCTTCATCGTCTGATTGATGGGGTGTCCCAGCTGCCATGTTGTATTGCATACTCTTTCTCCGAATAATGTTTCGATTCGTCCTCCGCATTCGCCGGTCTTTGACTAATGACATCTGCTCCTCGCTCATCCAATTCCCAATATTCATATCCAGACCCGGGTATACGAGGACCAGCCCATCCGGAATCGGGAGAGGGTCCTCTCCTTGATATGATCTGGTCTCGGTAGTCCCAGACTCGATAATCATCAACATAGTGCCAGTTGCAAGATTTCCACCTGCACTATCACCAGTAATAACTATCTTTGGGGACACTTCTCCAGCAAGTCCAATACATCGACCTTTGCTGGCGACAATGGTACAGTAAACATCAAAACATTCGTTCAGAGCGTATGGGTATGGGAATTCCGGGGCTTTCTTGTAATCCAAACTTAAGACTGGTAGGCCGGTTTTCCCAGCCCAGGCAAAAAGCTTGTCATCATGGCACCTGGGGTCCATTGCAATATATCCTCCTCCCGGAATATCCAAAACAATCTTCGTGTGATTTTTCAATGCCGAGAGTGGACCGTCAAAATATAGCCACCCGCTCACAGGCTCTTTGTAATCGCTATTCGGAGGTCGCGGTATGCGAATGGCTCGAGGAGGGTATTTCATAAATCTTGGCCGCACGAGGCTTTGGAGGGCTTTCAGGTAGGGAGTTGTGCTTTTGTTCCAGCTGACTCGTAGATGATCCACGGTCAGCACTCCTCTGACTTTCCTGACCTTCTCGTCTGCCTGCTCAGCAGCGATGAGATAATACCCAGTAAAGACCATACTGGCTATGTCTCTCAACCACTTCCTTCGTATCCGCATGGCTGTCCAAAACCCAGCATCCAAGGCTGTCGTAACCCATGTTGCCCGGAAGTATGATCTGGTGTAGAGGTTCGCGAGCGGTTCGGGACATTCGAGACCTAGGAGTTTGCCTAGGTTCCGGGCTATGTAGAGATAGAGGAGGGTTACGACAAGTGTCTGCCATGGTGTAATGACGCCGGACAGACTTCGAGAGAGCTTTCGTATAGTAGGCGGTCCATGTTTGTGCCCTCTGCTTCATTGTCAGCAGAGGCTTTGCTGACGCGGGGCAGATATACAGTACCTGAAGAGGTAGAAGGACCAAAAGGAAACAACTGCTAGGACTTGGATCTTGCGGAATTGATTTGAAGGACGACCCAGGACATGGTCTGCAAGTAGGGTAGTTAGCAACTTCAACCCAGTCTGGGGAGTGGAATAGTAGCCATACCTATCATGGTGACATGTGTGTTGTATGTAGTTGTGTCTAGTAGAGGGGCAGGGAAACAAAGAAGTTACATGTGAAAGGTTGAATAATGGCCGCCACTAGCACCAAAGAGAAGTTTGTCTATACAAGCAAGCCCGTCTACTGTATCTGGAGTCTAACAATATGTGTAGGAATAAGCAACAGACATGCCAACACAAGACAAGTCAAGTGTAGTGTAGCCTTTCATCAACCATGACTTTCCATAGCATTTGAGTAAGAGCACGAGGACCTCGGTGAAAGGCCCAGCGGCGTCTGGGGATATTGCTGTCGAATGGAATCTGTGAGGGCTGACATTGGCTGGCTGGAAGGAATGTGACGAGTGTTTTCAGGTTGGCGTTGGCAATGAGTGACATGTGAAAGCTGACTAAGACAGATCACGGGACTCAGCCTTGCAAGATGCGATCTGATCTTCTTCATTGGTTGGTGCACGGAGGGTTAAATTTTCTCCATCTCCATCTCCATCCACCCATTGTAGCTTGTAGGACTCAGGAGTGCATGGTGGGATAGGCATATCATGTCAAAACCCTAGCCAGCATTATCTCCTCCTCACTCCTGGGAATCTTTCCTACAAGGTGACGATTCCTCCTTGACTCTTATAGTGTTCTACGAGAAGAGAAAACCTCATGGTGGGTGGTGGACAGAAGATCAGCATAGACTTATAGGTTCATGATATCAAGTGCCGCCTTCTATTTATAATTTATAAAGAGTTGAAGCTGTAAAATATAATAGGAGTGAACCTTCTTTCCTGCAGTATCCACCTCATCAGAAGTCCACGTACACTTCCCATTACTAAACCTAACCCTCGATTGTCCATGCGACCTAAACAGCCTTACACCGATCCTATCAAGGCATGAGAAGTGTTTTATTCTTTTTTGATATGCCGATATGATACGATCTTCATGTGATTTTGACTAAACTACCGTTTCATCACAGGATGCGGCAAAACCTAAAGATGAAACAAACACGCAGGAGCTGGTCTTGTTCCTGAACCCCTGACCGAATGTGATACCTAACAGCGCGACCAACGCACCAATTCAAATGCCGGTACAGTATGGGGTGGACGACAAACATAGCAAACTCAGCAGAGAAACGGAAATATGCCTGGGAATACTTATAAATAGCTTCAAGCTAGTAGTACCTTGGGTTTTACTCGTTCCTGTGTACACGTTTGCATAGTACCGTAGCGTAGCGTACTATACTGTATTCAGCAAGTCAGCTATGCAACGTACGCTTCGTATGCACCAAAAAGCCTTTTCACTCCAAGCATCACCAGCCTTCAACCATTAAAATGGGCCGACCCGCCCGCTTACTTGGCGACGGCCCCTATTTGGCACATCAATTCATCTAGACCCCAACATCTAACATCCAATTAAACAAAGTTGCAGAAACAATGTTCCTCGTACTCGAATAACTCTCACCACTTGTTCGCAACTATGTACTTGGGCTTGCCTTTTTCAGCCATGGAATGCGTACTGGCAGGAGGATCCAGACCTTTCTCAAACACTTCTACCCCTAGCGAGGTAATCCCCGCTGCAGGGGCAGCCTTATTCATACTGTACCCCTGAAACGACTCTGTTAGTCTCGCGGTCCTCAAAAGAGTCAACTTCCCCACAATCTTTCCTTCTTTTCTTCTTTTCGGTTTGACTTTCCATTCCTTCCGTCTTTTCTTTGCCAGCTTAATTCCAGGATCCATCTGTCCCTCTGCCTGTCTTCTTTCATTCTCTTGTCCATTCATTGCCTTGTTCTTGTTCTCCAAATACATATTCGCTACAGACAATCACCATGGCTGAAGACGGCCCAGCATGGCAGTCTGCACCCGTCGCTCAGCATGCTGACGGCCATGACGGTAAACTCGATACCCAGGCCCGTCCTATCCAAAATGTCTCTCGCAAATCCACCCTCTCAAAATCCGCATTCGATTACAATATCACGGGCTATGGCGGGTCCGATACGCCCATGACAACGAATAATAGGGCTAGTAGGATAATGCCAGACTTGGATGAGTATTTTGTATGTCCCGAAACCACTGAAAATTTAGTTGAAGAATGAAAGCTAATAGTTGGTTTTTACAGGTCGGCCCAAGAGACCTCGAAAAACATTCCAAACTTCCATATTGGATGCAAATGCACGGCAGCGTCCTCCCACGCATGATTCTTCCCATGGCCATGATAGCAGGCTGGTCAACCCTTATAACGTGTCTCCACAAGTTCGTTGTAGGACGTATGTTCCCTCACCCCATCCCTAACCTCAATTCCTACTAACGAGACTATAGTCGACGTATCCAGCCTTCTCCTCACAGTCCTGGGTTTTGTAGTCGGTCTCGCACTCTCCTTCCGCTCTTCCTCCGCATATGAACGCTACTCCGAAGGCCGCAAGACCTGGTCCACACTCTCCGTACAATGCCGCACTCTCGCACGAACGATATGGGTACACATTGAAGAACGAGATACAGATCCGCAGTTGGCGAAAGACGATTTGCTTGCCAAAGTAACGGCCATGAACCTCATTCTCGCTTTCGCAGTGTCCTTGAAGCATAAGCTGAGGTTTGAGCCATACGCGCATTATCCAGATATTCAGAGCTTGGTGGGTCATCTTGACACATTCGCAAAGGCGGCGAGAGGCGAAGAACACGCGAACCAGAAGAAGAAGACGCCATGGAAGGTCGTGGGCGAGTACCTTGGCCTGCAGATGGCAAGCTCCAACCCACGGAAAGAATTGAAGCGTGCAAGTAGTCCACTCGGAAACTTGCCGCTCGAAATCCTCACCTACCTTTCCTCATACATCGAAGAGTGCTCCATGAATCAGACTTGCAAGACTCCCGTTGTTCTGGGTGCACTGTGTAAGTTTGTCTTCTGAACCTGCAGTCACATTCACATCTGGAGAATAAGAGCTGATATATGAAAACAGTGGGAAACCTAGCTTCTTTGACCGAAACTCAATCTTCCGCCGAACGCGTCCTCACCACTCCACTCCCCGTTGGTTACAACATCCTCATCTCCCAAATCGTCATGCTCTATGTCTACATCCTGCCCTTCCAACTCGTCGGTTCCCTAGGATGGATTGCCATCCCAGGCACCATGGCCGCAGCATACATAATTATCGGTCTCGCGGCGATTGGAAACGAGCTCGAGAATCCATTCGGCAACGATGTGAACGATCTTCCGCTCGACCAGTACTGTGCTGAGTTGGCCAAGGAGCTGGATGTCATGACTAGTGTAAAGGCACCGCTGTTTAGCCATTTCTTGAAGGGTCCAGAGGCGAAGAATAATGAAGTGCTGTGGCCGTTGAGTACCAGTGGGTACGGGGAGTGGAGAGAAAGGAGTGAGGCTGATATCCGGAGTGCTTTGAGAGCCAAGGTAGCCGTTGGTAAGCCGGTGAGTATGCGGAGTCGGACGCCGAGTATGAAGCAGGAGATGTCTGCGTAAGTGAGCCAGAGGCGAACCTTGAGCGAACCTAGGAACGTGTCTAAATAACTGCAAGTGAGCGTTTGAACTGAACGAGCGTTATATACCCAGTGTATGTTTTCATTGTCTATATCGGGAAAATTGTATAATTTCAAAATTATTCATAGAGGGAGCGAGCAAAACATAGCGAGGCGTTTGGATATTTTATCTCTAGTGCCATATAGCAAGCAATGAATTTTAATTTCCTTCCAAGGCCAGTCGTCCCAGATTATGTGACAGCAGATTTCCGCGCGGGGGTGAAGGGGTTGAATATAATAACGAAAAATGGTTCTCGAGTGAGAGCGTGGATGTGCGTCTGGACTCTGGTAATAAACTGTATTGCATCGTCTTTTGACTTTTGACCTGCGTTTTTGACTTGTCGATTGGCGATATTCCTGTTAGTATTGCTGTTATATATTGTTATGTTCTCATTCATGGTCCAGCTCAACTTTTAGACCTTGGAAGCTCGAGCAAAAACAGCCGCAAGTTGGTGAAAACATCTCAGATGCTGTCGAGTTGCTGATATGCAGGCGATGGACGTCGTTGCTTCTGAAGAGACACATGCCTGCCATGCGGAGTAACCACGGGTGGGCATTGGTGGGGACCCCAGATTCCCGGTGTGACAAACCATACAGCACAATCTAGACATGGAAGATTCATTGTCGCTGTTGAATATGGTGTAACAGTCCTTTAGAATTCTACCGCTGAGATCTAATATTAGGCAAATTCGCACCAATCGTTGGCTCTGCATCCATATTGTAGCCGGTAAATCCTACCCGATATTCCAGCGTCATCCAGGAATTCGCAGTGCTGTTTAGTCTTTAACCATATTGCATCTTGCGAGTCCAGGTCACACGCATTTTCGTTAAGATGTGTAATTTCCATTTAGCCATCCTTTTAAATGCCTTATATATCCCATCCCGCGCTCCTCGTAACTCTCTCGTGGATTCTCCAAATCGATACTGAAAAAAAACTTTGAAGTAAGAAAGGATCGGTCAATCAATCAACATGGTATTCTTATTACTGAAAGTTGTGACGATTTTTGGCTTCTTTGCTAGCCCAGCACTTGCGCATGGAATCGTGACGGGCATCGTGGCAAATGGTATTTATACTCAGGGATGGTCACTTGATTTCTACTATGACATTGTTAATAAAGTGGCCTATCCGACGACGCCTGGGTGGTATGAGGATGCGTTGGATTCAGGGTTTATTCCGCCGTCTGAGTACCAGTGCGTATGTTGATTATTAAGTCTCGTGGGTTGTGGAAGTGAAGTGAAGTGATATGTGTGGGGACTGACTGTTCTATAAATACAGAGATCCGAATATTATCTGCCACAAGGACGGCAGGAACGCCAATACCACCGCAACGGTAGCTGCAGGCTCAACAGTCGAGTTCCAATGGACACAGCCGTGGGCGCACAACATCGGACCCATGTTGACCTATGTTGCGAACTGCAATGGGGATTGCGAGACTGTACGTTACCACGGCCACCCTTTCACTTCCAGGAAGCAGATATCCTCGAGTTGCAGGGAGGAAAGAAGAAAGGTACTGACGAGTGCAACAGGTTGATAAAACGACCCTCGAGTTCGTCAAGATTGACGAGTCGGGCATCGATTTCACCACCCAGGAATGGGCTTCCGGCGTTATGATTGCTAATAACGGGTCTTGGACAAGCACCGTGCCTAAGTCTCTTGCTCCGGGTACGTTATATTATGTTATGATCATCCATCCGAGTTCACGGCACGCCGAGCTGGCAAAGCCGAGAACACAAGTGAAGTAAAGGCTAGCAAACGCTAAAGATCATCAAACCAACAGGGCATTATGTCTTCCGCCACGAGACCATAGCCTGCCATGGCGCCTCCACACTAGGTGGTGCGCAGAACTACCCCTTTTGTCTCAATATCGACGTCACGGGTTTTGGGACGGCGAATCCGGAGGGGACGTTGGGTGTGGATCTTTATAATGAGAATGATCCGGGGATTTATTTTAATCCGTATGTTACGTTAACGAATTATACTATTCCTGGGCCTGTGCTGTGGACGGGGTAGAAGTAAGTTCTGGGGTGAAGGGGGTTGGATGGACGAGATTGTAGCAGGGAATGGCTGGCGAGTAGGTGGTGTGATATTCTTACTTGTTTTGGAGGGGAAGGGGGGAAAAGATTGTGGGATGAGGGAAAAGAATGGAGGGAAGGAAGGAACGGTGGGTTGAATTTTGCACCCTGAACCAGAGACAATCATGACATTCGTTACCGATGACCCTGACGACTTCATTTAGATATCTACCCATTTTTACCCAAATGCTACCTATTACCCAACCATACCATACGAACATATCACATGCTCCAACTCGTTTCTCTTAGTCCTAGCTATAGTAGATCTAGGAAATAGCCATCGAAGCGTTATGACTGCCCGCAGCAGCATCGTACAACGCCTTAATATCAGCTTGCCACTGCGCCACATCCGGCCGTAAGACCCTCCGGTCATAAGTCAGCAAGCCATTGACCTCACCCTCGACATCAGTAGTCTGCGTCCAGACTCCCCCACTACATGCAAACAACTCTGTTTGATCCCTCAGATCGTCTAGAAGGCGGTGGGCGCGGTAGTTCCATGCCTCGATCGAGGTGTCGATTTCGTAGGTTTGGTTGATGGTGTTGATGGCTGTTTGGACGTTCCATAGACTATATAGTGTTTTAGTGTGTGGGACAGAGGAGGGAAATGGGACAAACTGACTGCTCAATGGAGACGTTTTGGCCGATTCCGCCGAATTCGCCTTGGAAGCCAATGCGTGTTGGGTCGTAGGGGCTTGAGTCGATAGAGTAGAAGGGGGAGCCACATTGTGGGTTCGCGTAATGATGATTGTCCTGTTACCGTTTATCAGTATTGTGAGGAGCATTTGAATAGCGGCTCACCCACGCTGTAGTCTCCGGCACCATGGTCGTGCCATCCCGTTGTACTGTCAACGAGACGCGTTGGATCGAGACTGCGAACGATGTCCGTGAGGCCAAACTCGGGATAGCCTTGAATTACTTGTCCCCAGCCTTCGTTGTAGATAACCTGAGAAGTCATTAGCGACCAAACCCATGCAGTGTGCAGCTGGAAGTCCATTTACCCATGTCCCGATGCTGGGATAGTTTTTATGCTGATTTACAAGAACCTCGAGTTGACGAGTGAACTCGGCTTGTTGATCTGTATCTGGCAGAATCGTTTCTGATGTGCAGTTGGACAGGGTACGGCTCTGAATAGGCCGGAGGGCGGGCATGTCTTGGATCAAAAGGAGGCCCATTTGATCACATGCTTGATAAAACAACGCGTTTTCAACTTTTATCTATTCAGACGAGATAAATCAGAATCTTTCTTTAGGTAGATAGTCATCTCACTTACATGCTTCCGAAGCATATTAAATCCTAGCTTCTTCAATGCTTCCAGATCGTACACCATGGCCTCCCGGTTTGGCGGGGTATAAACGCCGTCAGGCCAGTATCCCTGATCCAAAGTCCCAAATTGGAAAATGAATTCCCCATTCAAGAGCGGTCGGACTATTCCGTCAACTTTGCCTTTGGAGATAGTCCTAAATCCGGTATAACTCGAGACTTCATCAGAACCCATGACGACAGTGAAGTTATATAAACTCGGTGAGTCAGGTGACCATAGCTTTGGTGAAGGGACCGTGAATTGAAACGACACATCAGAAGTCCCTGTTTGTGACGCTAGAATATTTGGTGATCTCTTAGATCCGCTATCGTAGAAGATGATTTCAACGGGACCCGGAGTTCCGGAAGAGCTGTGAATTGTGACGTTTACTGAAGACGTCAAATAAGCATATATTCTTGAAGAGATATTTGATGTACTCACCCTCGCCATTCATGTCTGCTGCGACATCAAGCTGAGTTATATGGTTGGTTGGCGCCGATTCGATCCAAACACTCTGCCAAATACCGCTGCAGGGTCTGTAAAAAATATGTGATGGGTTCAGGGTCTGTTTTCCGATGGGAATGACATAGTCACCACTATCAGTGGGGTCGTGCACAAATACAAGGCTGTAAGAAAGTTAGCTATAGCTTTTGCGGGATTTTGAGAAGTTCGTGCATTTCGTTTTGGCCCCCAACCGACACAAACCCGGTTGCATCAATGGTGAACGCCGAGTATCCTCCTCGGTTGAAACCAGCCTTCTGGCCGTTGATAAATACCGTTGCTTCATAATCCACAGCTCCGAAGTTGAGTAAGACTGACTGATTGGACCATGATGAAGGGATATTGAAAGATGTCTGAAACCAAGAATATATTGAGTAGTTGGCTTGGATTCCTGCGCATGATATTAGCCAATTATGCCGTGGGAGAAACTTCTTGAAGGTTACCAGAAATAGCACTCTCGAGGCAAGACGGGATCAAAACCTCATTTGCTAATGTTTGATTGAAAGGAGGGCTGTTAAGGGCGTCCAGGCTAGCAGCATTCTGATAAGTCCACAATCCATTCAAGTTCTGCCATTTGGCCCGTTCCAGCTGGGGTCTGGGATATTCTGGCCAAGGGTTTGTGCCGAGCTTGTAAGTCCAATCTGTAGTTAACGGCGGCTCTTGAACAGCGTATGCCTTGGCGTTGACATTTTGACGTCTGGCTTTACCAGGATTAAAAAAATTGCTGTCATAGCTACTTGCCAGGGTAAGTGTTGCCTGTAGGGACAGGATCAAGCTGGATGCGACTCGCATTCTGATAGTCAAAAATATAAGGAATAGGCAATGAGGCAAACCAGAAAAATGGAAGTGGGAGGCAATGAATTTTTCAAACGCCGCGCTTCTTATACTCCTACCATCATGTCACTTGTAGACTGCCAAGGACAACCCCTCACTGCCCCTGTAATCGACAGGAACATATTACCTTGCAATTGACGGTCTGCAGGCGAATTGGGGCCGAAGCAAAAGATATCGAGCTTCAAGGAGACACCAAGGCACTTCCCTACTTACCCCTCATCGGCTAAGCAAGTACATGGTAATAATCCCCGGACCCCGCATACAAAAGTGGGAAAGATATGCAATGTTGACGCGAGATTTAACTTATTCAGGGAGGTCGAAATAACTACCCATGACACTTAAACTCTACTTCTTAAACTTTAACTTAAGTTGCTATATTATATATATAATGGTATGAAAGGAATTTAAGTAATTGTATATAGCTAGCAAGTAGGAAAGAGTTTTAAATATAGGATCGCTTATAAAATTAACTCTTGCTTACTTAATTAAGTAGTATAGATTTACAAGTAAACTCCCTATTAGTGAAACGCATTAACATTTACAAGTGACCTAGGGTATAAACAAATCAAAACGTTCAACCGCTTAAACGATTGGCGCTAGTGGGGTAGGATACTTTTGCTGACAACACGTGATTTATACTCCGGGGCAGACGGGTCAGAATACACGGGTCACAGCGGATGACCGATTTATAGCTTGATGTGAGCATATAAAGATACAAGCATAGGTATATATTAACGAAGGGGAGCGAGAGAAGATAATTTTACGGGCAGTGCTGACGTAATCAACCTAGTGTAACCACTAGTGGACGGTACGCGACTCTTCAAGTTCTTTGTTCTTCCTTCCGCTCTTTACATCACCCATCTAGCACTAGCAGCTGCAAACAGTCCAGATCTAGGTGATCTTCAGTCTATTTCCTAACGCTGATATATGTTCAAGGGCACTCATTTCTATATGATTACTAGTTAGACCTCGTCCTCTCAATTTCTGGATCAGCTGGTATCACAATTGTTCCTGCAATTGTTATTGTGGAGTCCCGTGAAGTAACGATAGGGGATTTAATTTTTTGCCGTTTCATTCATAGACAATATGCCCCAACCCATTGTTTTGCGGACCGGGACGTTCAGTCCTGGGCAACAAATAATGCACAAAGCTCTGATGGGGAGTTTGTCGAAATATCGAGTAGAATCTGCATGCACCTTCCCGCTGTTATCGATGACATTAGAAGGGGGATGCTGGACTCAATGCTCTGCTTGAAACATTATTTCCATGGTGTCGTGCGAGATGATAGCGACAATCACTGGTTTTCTAACATAAAATGGTCAGGCAAGTTGCTATGAGTCGAAACTCAGAAGAGAATCCGTTCCTAACTAGATGTATACAGTTTTAATGAAATTTCTCTACTCAATCTTCTGCTGTTAATGGGCAGCATATTCTCATCTTGCGGGAGACCTTTATTAGCGGGACCCTGCATGAAGACCCTCAAGTCATCTTTCTCAATGATACAAGGACATTCGATATGATTCACGCAAGCCATCGAAATTTGAGAAGCCACGCACACAACCGAGCATAAGTATGAGCTCTCAGCAGAACAGAATTCGAATTCCTAAACCCGTCCTACACAATAAAGCTTCAAGTAAATCTTTCGTTGTCCCCAGCTGTCGTACAACCTCAACAATAGCAGAGCCTACTCGGCGCAGAAACAATAACCCGCTTCAAGCATGGGCACTCTTTGGTTCGCCCTGATAGCTTCGATCCTTGTTTTTCTGTGCACATTTGCAAGGGATCTGGTCTCTAGTAAAAAGGGTTCCAGCACTCGAACATGCATCAAGGATCATCAGCAAGCAAAAGCTCTTCTGGCCAACTCCTCATTATTGTCCCGGGCTATTCCCAACGAACGACTTGTTTTGGCCTTCGGAATCAACAATGCTTTCACAACAACGTATTCAGATATCCACTGAGACTTTGTGAATCACGCAAAGCAACTTATTCGAATGCAAGATAGTGACTGGAAAAGCCTCGCAAAGACAGCGACAGAGAGTGCTAGTCGAATTGCAGGAACAGTCCAGGCGTTCGGCCTGACTTCACTTGAAACTTCTATCCAGCGCCTAGTCTTTCAAATCGTAATAGGAAAATTCTTTCCCCACATTCAGCCTCCGCCGTCCGACATCGACGTCCAGTACATTGCCACCACTATCAACAATCTCTGGGTTGCATCTAAATGTTCTATCGACCAGGCGCTTTTACACGACAAAAAGACATCTTTTCTTCGCAGACTTGAAACAATCCTGCCCTGCAACATCGCTGCTGACAACCCTCTCAACATCATCTTGCCTGCCTACGAGACGCTCTGGCGCGTTATCCTTCGATGTTTCCTAGAAATTCGCTTCCGGTCTTCCCACGATGATCGTCGCGCATGGACGAACCTCTTCCCGGAATTCCTATCTGATCCCACCCAGGCCAACTTTGAGGCTCGCTTAGACGGCCAAGTGTCTGTCAAAGACATCACTCTCGAAGCTCTCCGATTATACCCTCCCACCCGATGGATTTATCGCTTCCAAGAAAACAAATTGATCGCAGTAGATATCGAGTACATGCATCGGGACCCGGCAATATGGGGTCCAGACGCCGACACGTTCAAGCCATCAAGGATCGAACATATGGATAGACAATCGTTCATGCCATTTGGGAAGGGTAGCTTTGCCTGTCCGGCTGAGAATGTTTTCGGGCCGATGATGATTGGGATTCTGGTTGGGGCTCTAGTCACGCAGCTTTATGGTTCGGTTGGGTTGGTGGATGATGAAGGAGAGGACGCTGACTTGGCTGATGGGCCACTTGATAATGGGCGGGAGGCGTATGGGGGCTTGCAGCTTGAGCGGAAGTAAGGGTTGAAGTTGACACGCAGGCTATATAGTTTGATGATGGTTTTGATGGTACTTACTGCATATTGTTATTTATCAGTTGCATTCTCGTGTGGAGGATTCGAGTTTTGCGGGTGTCGTTCATATACCAGTAACAGGTATCTATAGTCTCAATGCATTGTTAGCTTTCCCTATAATTGATTGTCATGGCACGTCTGGTTCCTTTCCCCTGATCTTACTCGCTTAGTCCATGTCTGTGTCTACCTTTCGATCTACAGTTGCGAGTCAATATCTAAAAACTGACTGTGGTTTCCTTGTCGTGCAGTAGGTTGCCAGTGCTTGCATTTCACAGGGCTTCAGTGACCAGTGTTTAACAATTACTATACCCTCCCTCAGAGGGCCCTGCACTGAACGTGGACTTATTTGTTAATGAATATTGGATAATTATATATGAAGACACTTTCTAGTGTACCGTTCATTTGATGCCAATACAAGCAGAGACAATCCGGCGGCAGCGGCGTGGAGATACAGGGTTTACAGAGGCATTACCCACTCCCACGCTTCTTACTTACCACGTTTTGTTATATTAAAAACTTACACAGACTATTCAGCAACTATAGCTAGAATTGAAATATTTATAGTGTATATTATTCTTTTGCATTCATTACATAAAGGCGTCGAAGTGCTTTGCCTTGCGGAACATCGCCAATGTGCTGATAAATCTTTGACTTGCTAGGCGGATTGTTCCAACATTTCAAAACTCACATCTCGCCAGCTAGGCGGGGTAGGAGAGTGGAAAGATATCCACTCTAATATCTCTACTAGCCAGTATATCCTCAATTCTTCCGCGAAGCCCAGATGGAGGCTATATCAAGTACGTATCGCCCAACGGCGCGAAAATGAAGAGCGGGAAGAACGGCGGCGTTTACGATGAAGCGAGGGAGAGGGGTGATTATGTCGCCTTGAGGGATATATAGGAGAGGGCTAGAGCGACGAGTAGTGCTAGCGGGCAGTGTACAGTAGATGAATTGTGGGCGGAGCATGAGAGTGTTAAAAAAGAGAGGGCGCGGGCTGTGAGTTCGGTGTCATACGGTGACTTGGGCGTTACAAGACATGATGGCACGAGGTTACCCGCCAACAGCAATGATTCCGAGCTGGAAGGACTTCTAGGCGATGCAGCAAGCATATCAGCCAGTAGCACGCACTACCGGCGGGAGCGTAGCGCCCTGTCGATACTGTCCATCGATACCTTCTATTCGAAGAGCCCCACAACCCGCCCCGAGTCGCCATTGAACTTACAGCGCATCTCGACTTAAGTTAGTGCCAGTGGCGACGCAGTCCCACGGCACCGAATATGCTGAGATTGCCATCGCCACAGCAGTAGGGTCGATTACAGAGATGATGGTGGTTGCTGATGAGAGGCGAGAGGCCAGACGAGCCGGATATGAATCGCGATTTGGAAAGAGCCCACGAGATGACATATACGGAAGGATTCAGCAAGATCATAATTGAGGGGGCATTATACCCGACTTTGAGTTGAGCAAGCATGGCGTTTTGGATGGCTTTCAATCCTTGGATTTATATGTGTAGATATATCAAAGGCGAGGCGGGGCTTTGAATGTAGTAATGGGGTTTATCCTGCTCTTTTCGTTCTTGCTTGGCGGGTGCTAGGAGCTGTTTCTTCCATTATTGGTGGGTATTCTGGCGAAAGAGTGAGTTGGGCGGCGTTTTTTTCTCGCGGCGGGTGCAGAATCGCTGGTTTGAGAGTATTGATATTCCTGCTACCAACTTGTCATGGACCTATGCCGGTGAGCAAAACTTCATCTCCCTATCCCTCGCTGGGAAAACAACGCTCACACCTTCGCCATCGATACAAAGCAAACCAGGGCCGCTCTCCCAGCGACTAGATTGAGCGCTAAAGATATATATGAAAAATACTGGCTTTCTGTGGGCAAGCGAGCGGGGTTGTTCTCGCATGAGCATGTGGGGTAGTTTGCGCAAATGCTTTACTTGGAAGACCTGGGTTATGGGGAGATATAGGAGTGCGAAGGGGGTTAGAGTGTAATATCAAGGAGTTATCTGTCAATTGGAACTTACGAATCTAGTTATTACACTCGTAGATCCGGTGAATAAAAAAAAGTGGTTCATATTAACTCAGAGCAAGAAACTGAATACAGAGTCTTGTCCGAATTGCGTTCGTGGTTGGGTTGGGTTTGGGGGTCGGCACGGACCATGGGCGGAACTAGCTTTGTTTCAAGTTTGTCTGGTTTCTATACATACATATATCATCGCTCACCATTGAATTATGGTCAAGAAGCTGTACTTCTTGTTGTTTTATATATCTTTTTGGCCATCTAATTGTTAATTGCATATCAATATGGAGAGCGTTTCAGAGCTCTCAGTACTGCCCACAGCTGTAGCCCCGACTGCATCTTCAATCGATGTCCATCTATGTCCAAGATGCGCGGCAATCAAATTCAAAGATCTTTTCGATACTCGAGCGTCAGATTATTATACTTCTCAGTATGGCGTCGAAGTTCTACAGCTTGAAGCAACAAAGGCAGAACTGCTCGCGTCAACGTGTTCCTTGTGCCGATTCTTCGGGATGATGGCTCATCCACAAGGTCCTGACTGCAGTGATGCTGAAAGCAACATACCTTGCCATCTCCGGGCCATATCTACTGTGAACCTGTGGTTTAACGGCGGAGCAATCGGCACTGATGGTGACGCGGACTTCCACGACATCGATAATGAGCTCAGCTACATGCTGCGCGTCGTCCAACGCGAGACCAACAATTGCCTCTGCGAGGACAGGTGCGGATATTTTGCTGATGCTAAATCTTCTTCCCCGTGGAGGGTTCGCCATGTCTCTGCGGCATCTTGGTGCGATGGGTTTGCGAAAGAAGCAATCAACTACTGTCGCGAGCACCACGACGAGTTGTGCTCCCCAATGCATGCCAAAGTTGTCAAAGCTCTCAGGGTTGTTGACTGTAGGACGCGATGTGTTGTTGCGTCCCCGGAAGACTGTCAATACGTTGCCCTGTCATATGTCTGGGGCAAGGTAGGTGCCATCACTGTTGAGGACAATGATCCTAAACGTTCCGAGGTCCCGAAATATCCAGAAGTTGTTGAGGATAGCATTGTGGTGACGTTGAATCTGGACTACCGATACCTGTGGGTCGACAGATATTGTATTGATCAAGAAGACGGGCCCGATAAGCTCGACCAGATCAGACAGATGGATGTAATCTATAACAATGCGGTGGCAACAATAATGGCAGCAGCGGGGGAGGATTCAAGCTATGGACTTCCTGGGGTTGGAACCAAAACCCGAAAGCCACAGCATAGTCTAGATCTTGGCAGTCACCTCCTTGTTTCCATACAACCTCACGCCAGTAACCGAGTGAACTCCTCGAAGTGGGCGAGCAGAGCCTGGACTTATCAAGAGGGCATTTTATCGAGACGGCGCCTACTTTTTACGGATAATGAGGTATCATTCGAATGCAATGGCATGTACCTTGCAGAATCAATGATACAGCCGCTCGATAGAGTTTCTATAAAACGCCATACGGAACCTCCGCAAATGAAGCATAGGCTATCAAGAATCTTCCACCACAAAAGTCCCGGAACTGGACGCTACGAAGGCTCGCAATTTATCCAGGAGTATGCCTCGAGGGAAATTAGCTTCCCAGAGGATACAATAAATGCGATACAAGGGATTCTTCAGACTTATGCGAAGAGTCCGTGTCCAGTTTTTCATTTCATGGGAATTCCCATCATGTCCGCAGCGGCTATTCTACAAAACCCTTACGCACTTGATGACGTGAAATGGAAATCCCTAACCGCCGAGCATTCATTTGCAATGGGTCTCTGCTGGTCACACTCTTGGCGGGGGAAACGACGACCAGAATTCCCAAGTTGGACTTGGGCTGGATGGACTGAGTATCCATCCGGAACCACTCAAATCAAACCCGAAAACGTGAAAATATGGGTCGACGATAGCGTAAACCAACTTACAAGATTCCCCAGTTTCGATGCTTTGCCCAATCTCCTCTTACGACAACCATCGCACGGGATGTTATTTCTTACGGTAGAAGCTTCGACAATCACATGCACAATCGCCAGCGTAGAATTGGACGTGGAGGCGAAGAGAAGATGCAGGTATGTGGATGGGCAGCGGCATGCTATAATACAGCTTGAAGATGGCCAGCTAGTCTGCTGTCCATATTCTCCAGGCGAAGAACCCTGCGACCCTCTTGACCAGTCATACACGGTGCTTCTATTGTCGATTTCCGAGACCTCCAGAAAATACAATAGTTCTGATCAAGTGACTGCCATCGTTGTCAGGGAAGTTGGCGAACACTATGAGCGGATCGGCTCATTTACATTCAGCTATGTGATTTTTGCCCAGCGTACTACTCCACGGCCTGATGGCAAATGGGGAGAGAACGATTTAAATTATTATCGTTCAGGGGCAGGAGAATGTCTTCCTAAGTTGGTAACAACGAAATGTACGATTCGCCTAGGATAATTCTATGACAATGATTCATATAATATAAGCGTAGGGTAAGTAGCAGAGAAGCTATATAAACTATAGAACTCTTAAAGACTAGAGATACTATAGTAGAGCTAATATTTAGTAAAAGTTATATATAAATTAAGACTATAGCTATACTGTATTTATTTAATCTTAAAACTATTAGTATCACAGATATGATATGTGATCCCTTCTCTACTACGTAGTATAGACTTGATTCTGGTATTTGGTTAATAATGCTTAGCATTCATTATAGTGTTGCAAACAGAAGTGGTTATGCCACTTCTGCTGACTAAGCTAAATCACATGATGTCACATGACTATAAAGGTCGGAATACAGCTCCCATTCCAATAAAAACTAGCTAAAGAATATAATTTATAATCTAACCTATTTAAAAAGTATTCTTATAAAATAGAAATAACCTTAGATTATATATTACTAGCTTATAATAGAAGCGGTCTTATACTATTAGATAATAATAAACATAGTAAATAAGAGAAGTTGTCAGGCGGCTAAGCACATATAAAAACAGCTATATCCGACAGGCATCTTAACTTTGAAACAAGTCTTAGCACGATTCCGTACTCCGCTCCTGTCTGCGCCTCATTTCGTTTTAATTCTCTCTCTCTCTCTCTGGGTTGGGCACTGGCACGTGATATGAACGTGATTTATTTCTAGAAGTATTGTGATCTGCTAGCAGATTATCCGAATATATTATAAAATATAAAAGTTAATAACTTTTAGGGTTTTTTGATAGGGCAATAATTTGAGCGTTTACTGAGTGTGCGCTTACTAAGTGACTACGAGTATTTGCCAAGTCCACATAGCCGCCGAAAAATATTTGGCGATCCACAAATCGGCTGTTCCCGTTCTCTAGCGTGATACGGCTTTCCTCTAAGGGACGACTCCCCCCTTTCAATATTTGTGAACTTACCTTCAACACCTCACCAGCGGACACAAAAGCCTCCACGTATGCTCACAAGTCATTGCGTTTCCCGAGTATATCGAAGCTGAAAGACACGTCGAGGAACATCAGAAGGCTGAATTTCCGTTAAGAGGAAAAGTACGTCGGCGAGAAAATCCGCTTTTCAAATACGCCAAAGACAGAAATACGGTACGTCTACTAACTTCAACATATACTTTAATTTTCACTTACTCATTTGCATGTAGTTTATTTCCATAACTCTCGAAACTCCATAAATGGACTCGCGATGGCAGTTCCTTATTTCAACCCTGCGAACAATTTTGAAGTTCAGCATGAAGGCAGCGAAGCCTTGGCCATCAATGACACTTATCCTCGTCGTTTCTTAGCTCGTCTAGCACTTCATACAACAGCAAAGTTCTTTGATCGGGACGGCCCCTGTGTACCAATCACCAAGCATAAAATCCTCAAAACGGGATATTCAGTACACCTTACAGAAGCTGTCACGATGAAGTATGTCGCTCAACATACATCGATTCCTGTTCCCAAAGTTTATTGCTCCTTTCTCCACAAAAACAGAGCATATCTCGTCATGGAGAGAATTCAAGGCGAGACTTTGGCAGCTGCCTGGCGAAAATTATCCAAAGAGTCTCTTCAGAAAATCTTCTCGCAGCTAAAGCATATGATCCAAGAGCTTCGAGCTTTGAAGCCCCCACCAAATACGGGAGTAGAGAGCTGCGTTGGTGGTTCCATGTACGATTCCCGCCTACCACACGGCACCCCGCGCTTTGGACCCTTCAAGACTATCCAAGAATTTCACCTCTGGCTGAGAAGAAATCTTAAAGCAACAGAGACAGGCGATCACGTCACCCAAAAAGAGGCCGACGACGTCAGAGCCATGATTGTTAAACAAGATGCCCTATGGCCAGCCCCAGTTTTCACACATTGCGATTTGAATCCATTTAACATCTTAGTTCGTGGGGACCGGATAGTTGGAATCATTGATTGGGAATTTTCAGGCTGGTATCCTTCTTACTGGGAATACACATCTGCGTGGCGTGGAAATCTTCTTAGAAGTGAATATCAAGGTATTCTTCTTTCGTTGCTCGATCCCTATCCCGAGGAACTAGAAATGGAAAGAACACGCTGCAAATGGTGGGGAGAGTGGTGAAGCTAGTAAAATACAATACGGTGATCTGATCTTGGCTGGAGGCAAATGTTTTTGGCTCAAGGCACAGTCTCCTTTCGCCCAAGCAAATCATATGTTGGTTTGGGCTTCAATAAATCCTCTGCCGTTGCGTACCTTCCTGCAGCAGTTTTTTGAGCGACGTATTGTCTTGCGAATGCCTCAATGTGCCCCCAATTCAGCTCAGAAGTGCCAACACACTTCCCGTCTTTCGCAATTTCCGTAAGAGCCTTCGCAATCCAGCTGCGACACCTCCAATTTGGGTCTCCATTAACGACTGGTAGATTTCGAAGAAGATCGATCAGCCGACGTTCATCCTCCACTTTTCCAATGACGAAACGCGCGAGCAATGTATTCGTTGATCGGACATCGTCGACACCCTTCTCCTCATATTGCCATCCGCCCATGTACATGTTCTTCACGTGATAACGAACACCAGGGACGACACTCTTCTCCGCTTTCGGTCCAATCAGGAACGCCCAATGGAATCTGGTAATGTTAGCTCGTATCAGGCATTGTGAAAGGACAGTTCCGGAACCTTCTTTCTTCATTACCCACAACTCCACTAGGGTATAGCGCGATATACAGACGGTTCTTGTTCGAAGACATGGTCTTCCTAAGATCGAAAGGATATAGAGAAAGGGTTGAGTAGTATGTGTAAACAGGCAAATATAGAAAATAGTTAAGAATTGAGCCAAGAGTAGTTATATTGATAGGGATATAAATAATATAGAGAAGGCTTTAGCAGCTTTTATACCTATGTGTTATCCCACTTTAAAACCAACATTATAAATAGAAGTAGAGGCGCGCGTAAAAACGATGTTTCATCTCTGAGGCTTCAAACATTCGACCTTAAGTTGTATACGTGACTTGAACTATGAGAGGGTCTTTTCTACCAGAACGACCACTAATAACGTGGGCTTATTAAGCGCGCGGTGGGTCAATCCAGGCCGGGTACTTAGGTAGCGCGCGCGTAAGCATTCCCCGAACAGGACGATTGCAGCTAGGTTAAAATGCATTGAAATACACACGGCAGTTCTAAATGTTATAGCATAGTACTAGAACATTAAAATATAATATTGCATAAAGGAAATCCTTTCCAGTGAAGTATTTAGCGGATGATCGGTTGATCGATCGGCTGGCGGGTTCCAGCTAGACCAGTGTAGCTAAAAGTTCAGCTAGTGTAAAAAGTCCTCCACCAATTATTTTAGGGTGCTCTTTCGCGGAAAGAGCAAAACAGCGAGTTGCAATTGGTCAAGAAACTTTTGACTAAGCGACTTTCCGGTGAAAGAGCACTTTTGTTACGAGCTAACTTCTACTTTATAACCAGCTTTCCTAACATGCCAACATTATGTTTTTCTACAATCAAGAGCATCAAGTCGTCGATGCCATATATGTAAGTCTGTGTTATTCCTGGTCGTCGGAGCCTAGAGGATCACTTGCAGGTGGAGCCACACCGACTCTTAGGTGCCGAACTCAAGGCTACTCTCGAGCTCTGCAGCTATAGTCTAAGGTCTACTGCTGATTTAAAAGAAAATAAGCCAGGGATTGAGGGCCGATGTCAGGTAATGAGTAGCTTGGAGTGTTATTCTAGCTTTGTCTGTATACAGTCGACCTGTTATTACGCAACCTGTCATGAGAGAACATATGCCATCTGTCCATTAGGTCGAAGCTGCGGCTCACGAGTGTTGTAGGACGTATAGTTAAATAGCTTTACAATTGCGCCAGACATCCCCAAAAAGGGGCCAATACTAAGTTCCTTACTGGGTACTATCATACTATATATATACCTAGAGGAATAGGCACCACACGTGACCGGCCTGTGACAACAAGAAGAGCGCACTATGGAGGGAATATAAGCTCCAGACGTACTTTACAGCTAAAGGTCTAATTGACTACTTCGTCGTTGTAGACAATAGTAGGACAGAAGAGAAGAGAGTCTATCTGCTGCTGCTGAAGGCGACATGTCCTTGACCGAGGGTAAAAAGACATGCTTTGAAAAGATCGAGGAAGATTATCAGAAGTTGAAGGAGGGACTCGCAACAAAAGCTGGAATTGTCCACGACTTTGGGGATTCCCGGTCAGCACGGGTACCGTGGCTAGAGAGCACGGGGTTCCCGTTCCATTTGAAAGACTTATTAAACGCAGAGATCTACTCTTCTTATAAGCTGCCGTCAGACCGTAAGCTAGAAGAGGGCGGCATTTGCGATCCCGTGCTTGTACGCATTATAATGCTACCAAGTCTCTCTTGCATGAGGCATACAAGCTGTCGAGCGAGGCCTCACCTGACCGAAAAATGACCTGTCAGCGTGCGTTTATCCTCCACGAGTTCTATACAGGAGCCACTGGAAAATCTAATGCATTCCATTATTACAAAATGGCGTCAGCTCTTGTGCAATATTTCAATACTTGGACACTGCTTGTCGTTTTCTACTACCGAGTCTACGTTACGGATGGCCATTTTACATAAAGAGAGCCATCTTACCAAGTCCCGAAACACATTATCCAGCCAACGGAATCATAGCAGAAACCTCTATTTGATGTAATCAAAGCTGCTATGGACAAACCAGATGAGAATAAAGAAGACATTAACGCTATCCTGAAGCACTTTCTCCGGCGGCTTTTCTTCGCTTTCATCTGTCACGTCGTTGGGAGCGAGCCAGTTAAGTCACCAGTGTACGACAGGGCTGTCATTCCTCATAAGTCTCATTGAGCTTCCAAGAACTCGAGAATCTTGCCAACCGCCTGCTCATCACCTGGCAAAGATTCCATCAACTCCTCATCAACCCAATTACGTGTATAACCACCCCCAAAATCAACCACCCATGCATCATCCGTTTCCTTGTGTATGAGCACGTTGTGCGGCTTTCCATCGCCCCATGTAACCCCGATTTCATGAAGTAAATTAACAGTCTCCCGGACTTGAGCCCCCCACTTCTTCCTTCTTTCCGTCGAAGCCTCCATTTCCTCAACCTCCACTCCCTCAACATCCATTCCTTCATGCTCTGCCCCATCTTCTGAACCCTCTTGGTCCTCCAGATTCCCCAGGGCATATGGGTTCCCCGTAGGAATGTATTCTTCCAGAATACCAATAATCTCCTCCGTCTCCGCTAACGTAACTAGACCAAGAAGTTTGGGTACTCGAATCGAATTAGCAAGGTGCGATCTCGCTATCGTATGAAGACAGCCGAATTCACGTTCAAGGCCCTTAAAGAAAGCCTCCTCGCCGCTCTTGCAACACATCTCTGTTCCTCCTACCGAGACTTTGGTAATATCCCCCTGCCCAGCGAAAATTTCAAGTACGCGGATGTCTTTGGAAGAATATTGGGGCAATCCTATGTCGTTAACAATTCTGTTGCCGGAAGGATGGTGGTGGTCGGGTCCTCCTTCTATTTGGTCCGGTATCAATTCCGCTTTCCCATCCTTAGTGACGAAGCGGAAGGCGAAGGTCTCCGGGTACAAATGAGAGTGTAAATCCGAAGGCTCTGGCTCGTTAGGAGTGGGGGGAGCTAGTCGAGTCCAGATCGATCCTCCCGCTTCATAGACAAGTAACTCGATTTCGCGTTGAATGGCGAAAGATCGTTCTTCATCTTCATGTGGGATCAAGTCGAATCTTGAGATGAGAGGCCCTTCAATGGTATTTGGGGAGGAAGGGGGAAGTAGAGATACGCGAAAACGTTTGCCATGTAGCATGATGGTTATAAAGATGCCATCTCCGCACCCGCTGCCCCATTGCACGGCTTGCCAGTCTAGAGGGAGCATCTTTAATTTGACCGTTGACCTGGGGCTCCAAAACAAAACGATGGAGGACCTGATATGTCGTTAAAAAATAGATGGAGATGGGGGTTTAAAAAGGCTGAATGGCAATTGATACGTGTTGAGATTCAAGGCTCGGAGGAGTCTGAGGAGGGAAAAGTGGTAGCGAAAATAATGTCGGGGAATGGGCAAGACCTGCTGTCTGTAATAATACCATGGGTGCTTTAGTGTAACAACTTTAGCTAGTAGGGGGTAGCTCTGCTAGCGTTGAGAAGGCCCCGCGCAAGCGATCTACCTGCGAATTCGCTGACCTGCCCAGGGTACATTGACTGGGACATTCGCCCTGTCACACATCTCCCACCTGAACTGGACAGTCCAGGAACCTTCTTCCTTCATTACCCACAACTCCACTAGGGTATAGCGCGATATACAGACGGTTCTTGTAGGACGATGGCACTGGATTAAATTGCATTGAAATACACACGGCAGTTCGAAATGTTATAGTATAGTACTAAAAAGTTAGAACATAATATTTCACAAGGAGATCCTTTCTAGTGAACTAAACTACACTACGAGCTCCGTCTCACCCTCGCCTGCCGTCTCCCGTGTCCACTCCTCGATTCGAGTCTGCATAAACTCAGTAAACGACGCCGTTGAGCTGCGAACCTTGTCTCGCGCTTCCGGACTAGGCGTGTCCCAATACGGCCTGAGATCATGAGCAATGGACTGGCTTTGTCGCTTCTCGATCCGAAGGATTGTTAGCTGGCTCGGAAACGTAATCATGAGCTGTTTGACAACGCTAGAGATATCCTTGATCTTCTTTTGCGTCCCCGCTTCGCTGCCATCCAGTGCCCCGCTCCTATGAATCTCAATGCCAACCCACTCGGCTTGCCCAAAAGCAAGGATCCGTCGAAGCTCGTACGCCGTTTGCGGCATTGCCGCTCGGGATTGGAAAAGTCATCCCCGTCGCCTTCTTCGACCTGGACCATATTCTCCGTCACAAGGTGACTAGCTAGATCATATACTTCTGCACGGTTATTAAATATCGCTGGAAGTGCTGTCGAATCCATGCCCGTCTGTCAGGTCGGACAAAAACCCTATAGCAGAGTAGTAAAACCATTTCGAGATATTAGCACTCCCTCTTGGCATGCTCTCCTCTTTATCATGACTTGATATATAGATATCGACAAGAAAGCTATGAAATGTTTCCTGAGAACTGAAGATATAGCGAATCCAAGCCATCCTAAGTATATTGCGTGTATAAGTGATATTTGGCATAGTCTAGCTAGAATGAAAACATAAAACAGTTAAAGAGGTACAAATAATTAGCAGTAGCTCAAAAAAACTGCCAAGCTGCCCCTTACCAGCCACTACTCAAAGAACTTCGTACGAGAAAGACGACAAGAAACAAAACAGCCTGTATGCCGTCCAATGTGTTTGAACGATCTACTAGAATAGACCCCCTTTCAGCTACCCACAGAAAGAAGAAACATTCAAAATTAATCGGAGTTCAGTGGAGCTTCTTCTTCTTGCTGTTGTACTCTTGATCGTTCCGACAAGCTGCTGGACCATAATTTTTCTGCGTTTTTGACATATTTTAGCAGATCAGAAGCAAGAAGCCTCTCATCAATGTCCTTGAATTTTGACAGCATGTCCAGTGCCTCCTGCTGGTCTTCCAGACTCCCTTTTGACCACTTTGTCCAAGCAAGGTAGTACATCGATTCCAGTGCCTGAAAGCTTTTCTTTCCTAAAATCGATTTGGAGAGATTAAATATTTCTTCTATCTTCTTCACGGCGACATTGAAATACTTTCTTTCGATTGCAGAGATCCACTCAGGACGCAGCTCGGCTGGTTGCTTCTGGTGCTCCTTGATTTCTGGCCGCCATTTTCAGTTCGCTTAGATCCAGCTCCACGTCCAATTTGACTTCATCGAGAATGTACCCGAGAGTGTGGTCAAATTCGGTATTATGATGAGTGAGGGCATCCTTGATATCATCTAGGATTTCCATGGCGGCTGATAATCTTGAAACTATTTGTCTTTTCATGATACCCCCATTAATTCAAAATTCTACGCGGGTTTAGGAATGGAATAAAGAAGGTATACCCACTTTGGTAACACTAAGATCCAGAACTGCTGTGTAGAAGATATCCTACTATCTGTTGTCTGCCGTTTTCAGATTGTTCATAGCATGCATTCACTTTGTGGTATTTTCACCATTTTTTTGGAGGGGGGGCATTGCCATGTTTTCCCCCAAGGCTATGGAGGTAGGCAGTGCTGAGTATTTTTTGCTTATGTGCATATGAATTTCACATATTATGCGCCACCTGCACTAATAAGAAAAGAGGGAGCTTAAGAGGGGGTGCGAGTGCAGGACACACAGAACGTTATACCCTGTCAGCTATCCCATTCCGTAATCACTGAGGTGGGGGGGTGCGGCTGAGGGTGCCACTGGCGAGTGAAACATTAATCTCTGTGGTTATTATCGAGGCAAATAGATCTGCGCTACTACACTACTCAATAAATTAAGATGGCTAAGAGGTGGCATGTTACGCCTACCCTGATTATTACAAGTCCTAGTCTAGGGAAGCCTAGGG